GCTAAATTTTAGGCTACAAAATCCCCACTCTTTTCATTGCCTTGCCCTTTAACCGTTTCCCTTATCTGAAGTGATGGGAATAAAAGATTTTAGGACAATGTTGTTACTTTACATCATGGTTGTTTTACACGAGGGGGCAAAGCCATTTGACCTAATATGTTTACACTTAAAATCTTTACAGCCCTTGTGCTATCTGCCTATCCTTGTTTTTTTTCCATCTGGACATACCTTCCATTCATCCCTCTGTTTTTTGTCTGGACCCAGTCTTGCACTTTTACCTCTATAACTAGACTCAACTTTGCAGCTTCCCTCTCAAATTTGTAAGGTGTAATAATTGCCTGATTAACAACAGAAGCATCGTCCCTGAAGTTCCCTTCTGGTTCATTATCTTTTCAATACAGAGACTCTTACATCCCTATTAGTTTCCCAACTTTGACTTCTCAGGCCTCTTTGAAACTCCAAGCCCATTTCAACCTTGGCATTCTGTAACATAAATACACACACACGTACATACATACAAATAAACAGATTGACATGCAGATCAATATATTTGCTGAATGATGTGTAATGTGTGATCTGGAAGTTAATATTAGTACCTAGATTTTGAATAAAAGGGCCTGTGTTCCCCTAGCCAGGGTTACCAAGGAAAGCAGGAATATCCGGCAAATATCTGTCATCGAAAATTCAGTACCTTGTGAATTTATTATTATTTGGTATCATTTAATAAATTCTGACCTTGTAGAAAGACACAAACATATTGCATATTTCTGACATGGCACCCTATTCAAGTGAGACTTTACTTGAGTCATTTTGTTCTGTAGTTCATGACCTATCTGAGGTAAATGGATGTTGTTTCTATCTCCCCTGGAAAAGTTAACGTGACAGGTTGCAGAAGAAGAGATTAACATCTTCGGAAGAGACAAAACTGTGTAAGTTGGGAAGCTAAGGACAAACACTTGGAATCTCTAGCCAGGTTTACAGATAAAGGTCTTTGTTACGCAAAATCAGTCTACAACAGGGAGAGAGCTGATTTCCCAAATGCAGACACAAAGTGAAAGGTATAAAGAACAGGAACAGTCAGAAAAAGAAAATACAATCAAATTAAAAAAAATAAATCTCCAGTAAAGAACCTTAAAGAAAAGATTATTATGAATTACAAAAGAAGTTCAATAACTTACAAAAGCACTTAGACTATTGAATTGAACCAGGAACATGTGCATGAGTAAAAGGAGAATATTAGCAAGATGGGTGTGATGAAAAAGAGCCAACTAGAAATTAAGAGGCCAAATTATGTAATTACAGTACTGAAAAGTAACCAAAGCAGTAAAACCACTGCCTTAATTAAGCAGAAGAAAGAATCAGTGAAGTTGGAGAGGTGTACTTAAAATTATGCAGTTATAGGATCGATAGGAAAGAAATAATGGCAAAGGATGAAAAAAGTCCAAGAGGATTATGGGATACCATCCAGTGTATCAGTATACGTATCAAAGAATCTCAGAAGGGGAAGGAAAGATAATACATATCATTTAAACTTGTTTTTATTACATTCATTAATTTATTTGGGAGAGGGAGGAACACCACAACCTATGTGTGACAACTGGAAGACAAGTGTTATCTCCTTCCCTGGTATGAGTTCCAGGGATCGAACTCAGGTCATCAAGCTTAGTGGCAAGCTAAGTGCCTGAGCCATCTTACAGGCCCAAGATCATTTAAATACGTACAATTTCAATTGAGAGTTTACTTAGAGAGTAGATTGCAGGTGCTATCACCACAACAAAGAGTTGTGAAGTGGGAGCTGCATTTCAGTCATTAGAGCATCTGCATATTGAATTTTCCAATCGTAAATTTAACCCACAGCTTTGAAACAAAACAAAACCAAAGCAAACGAAGCAAAAGAAAATCAAGAATGGTGAATGTAACTATGTGGGTTGGCTATGTTCTCTTCAATGTACATGTATATAAAAACACACTGTAAAATTTCAGTATAACAATTTTCTTTAAAAGTAAAAACATAAAATAACTGCCATGTTAGTATGTTCTAGAAATGTGCTGGTATCTATTCTTATAATATTGTGTTGTGCATTTAAAGTTTTTGATGATAATACAGATGAAACCCAAGACTTTGAGCATCTTATACAAATGCTATACCACCAAGCCACATGCCTGGTCTACATTTATTTTTTAAGTCAGAATAGCTCATGTAAATATTTTATCCCAGTTTACAAAAAGCACTATAAAATAAGATATTTTGCATGTCCATTGCTTACCACCTTGTCTTTAAAACCCAATGTGTAATTTACAGTTAATTCACAGGCCATTTTGAAGCCTATATTTTCTTCACATATATTGTAACTGTATTTCATAAAATTTAGAGTTTTAAAAGTATATTAAAATACTCAGGTTTACCAGTAACTGAATAGAATATTGGTTATGGACTTACTGAGATATAATTAACATACAGTACAAATTCACTTAATTTTCAGACTATTTTTTCTCTTTTTTTTTTCCTTAACGTCCATTACTTTGTCCCCAAGTTCATTGCGTGTGTACTGTTTCATCCTTATGTCAACACTGAGCCAAGTAGCAAGTTGTTTATGTTAAATGTAATTTTCAGTTCTACAGTTTTGTTTCTTCCTCTTTGATAGCTTCTGTTGCTTTCTTTAGTTATTTTTTGTTATTGTTTTGTTTTGTTTTCAAGTCCTGGAAATCAAACCGAGTGCTTCATGCATGACAGCAAACACTCTATCAACCAAGTTGTATTACCAGCATGTTTTACTGTTATTTAAGATATTTTTACCTGCTTGGTGAAGTATTTTTATAATATGTGCTATAAGATGTTTATCAGATAATTCCATCACCTGATTCACTTCAATATTTGTGTCAATTGGTTGCCTTTTACATTTGTGTTGTGCCTTTCCTGTTTCTTGACACACCGAAATTTTATACTTTTTTTTCTCAACTTTAGCCATTACCTTCCTAGACTTTGTCTTACTTAATTTTTGTATTTTAGGAGATTCTCACTCAGTTAGGTTTAGCACACAGACCCTGACTGCTTTTATAGGTTTGTCATGTCATATAGGTAGGAACCCTGTCCCTGTTGGAAACAGGCCTTCCAAGTTACAAAGATCTAAACAGGGAGGGCTACAGACAGGACAGGAACACACCGAGTTTCCGTGCTGCCAAGGTACAGAGGCAGGCTGACCACTGTCACATTGCTAAGTCATATATTATATAGGTCCATTGTTCTGTGGGATTTTCCATACACCTCTTAACCAGAAATGAGCTTGGGACTTTACACACACTTGACCCAGCCCCAAACCACAGAGTACATAGTACATTTTAACCTAACTTGGTATTGTTAACTGACTTAGGAGATACTTCCTAATGTTGCAACATTTCCCCCCTCCCTAAAGAAACTTTAAAAGAACACCCTTTGCTTTCCTTGTGTGGACTGTAGTTTTACTTCAAACTCTGCATGAAGATCAACTTTAAGAAATTTTGTGGTTGTTTCTGGGCCTCTCTCGAACTCCCAAACTCTGGAAATGTTAACAAGATTATATTTTCAATGATGCCTTAATTTCTATAACTTCTGTGGTATGATTTTCATATGCTATATTCATGTGATGTCACTGATGCTTACACTAATATTGTTAGGGCCACTTAAAGTGATAGAAGTCAAGCATTTGGGCAGCTATCTTTCTTATTAATGGGACCCAACAGATGCTTATCTGTGGAAGAAAAATGGATTCACTATATTTCAGGGATGAATAGGGCACTTCCTGTTGTGGCTTGATTCCTCTTGGTGATGCTGATTAGCCACCTAGTTTGGTAGGTGCAATACTGAATTATGTAATATATAGAGACACAGAGGCTTCTTAGTCTAGCATAGTTGCTGAAATATCCTCTTTAACATTCCATCTGGGTGTCTCTGAGTGAGAAGATGGATTCAGGCACAAACTCTGAACTTCCCAGGCTGGGTTTAATATGAGTAAAGGCTTCTTTCCAGTTGATCTTCCTTGTCAGTTATCAAGCTTACTTCCTGCTGTTTGTGGAAATCTTGTTTTATTTTCAGGAGCAATGAGGCTATCACAGCAGTTTTGTTCTGTTGATAGTTTGAGGGTCATGAGTTGTGCGGCCTGAGTGGCCTTGTATCTTAAAAAAGGAAGAAAGCACCTATGGTTGCTCCATTCCCTGGATTCCCAGAACCACTCACCTTCTTTCCATCTTTCAAAAATCTCTTGCATTATTTTCACAGCTAGTAATTCTACTTTATGGAGAAGAGAAGGAAATAAGGAATCTAGACAATCTTGCTCAGTACTGAAGTACTATTGGTAGTTTTATTTATCCTCAAAGCTATCATTTGGTAATCTAAATAGCCTTTCTAAAATGTCTATTCATGTCTCTTTCATGGGGAAATCGTTTTCTATGTACTAGTTACAACAAAATATACTGGGATACTTGTTAAAATGCAGTTTTTTTGTGGATTCTATACAGAAAAAAATGAATGAGATTCCTTGAGATAACACAATTTTACTGATTCTCTATTATATTAAAGGCTGAAAAACCACAATAGTTTCAGGAGAAAGGCAGAGAACAAAATAAGATCATTAAGATGAGTTATTCTTCTAAATACTAATTGCACCAAAAGTGGTAAGGTATACTAGTTAATATTAATTGATATGGTTTATGTCAATTATGATTAAATTGTATGGTCAAATTAACAGCAGAAAAACAGATTAGTTTATGAGTTACCTTTGAATTTTCCTTTAAAGAACAGCAAAAAACAGCCAACAAAATATTCAGTATATTGATTGCTGCATTTTAATTAACATTTCCTTTGTAGTTTAGATAAATATTATGATCTTAAAATAATGTTTCTTTGAGACAATTCAGTCTTATCAAAGCTATGTTTAGTTTGGTTTACAAATATTTTTCAATGATATTCCTACCAATACTATGAGAGGAAACTCATTTGTTGCCTTAAATAAAAGATTACTTACTGCTCTTTTTCTAGAACACCCTGTAATCCAAGGCACAGTAAGGTTTCCTGAAATCTGTGGGAAAAAAAAACCACAAAACAAATGGAATTTCAGTAAGTAAGGTATGCATTAACATACAAATAAACAACATCATTTTCTTATTGATTTGAAAGGCTTTCTTTGTAGAAAAATTTTAGAAGAGAAGTGAAGTTTCCCCCCTAAAAATTCAAAAATGTTTTTAGAGTATTGTGGGGTTATTTAATTGCTAGGTTCCTGTTAGAGATCTGACATATATTGAAAATAAAACTATTAAAATAAAAATCCAATGCACTGAGGATTAAGTGAAAAAGTTGCAAGAAACATGGAATATTCACTTTTAAAATAGGGTGTCACCACAAAGCAAGAGATGCCTCTGTAATGGAAGGTGTATGCTATAAATGCAACACATTAATCACATTTACTTCGAAAACTCAACACTTCAGAAATATAACTTTTATTTTAAATGCCTTTTTATAAATTGTGTATTACTGCAAAAGATCGCAAATGTGAACTCTAAGGCAATATAGTATATATAACAAGCCTCTCTAGATATGTCTAATAAAGTCTGTTCTTTTTAAATTTTTTAAAAATTTGTTTTTATTGAAATTTTATACAGAATATCTCAAACAATCTTAATCATCTTTATACCCCCACCCCACCAACACCCTCCTATAACCCCCCCAACACTGGAACACCCATATACTCCGTCATCCATGTTAAGTAAGGCCCAATGTGTCAAGTCAGTGATCCCAGACATTCCCCAGTACAAGTCCATCCACTGTGTCAGCCTTACTAAAGTCTTTTGTTTTAGGACGATTAGCTCTTCTTCACCTAGCAGTAATCAAGTGCCAATGTTTCTTCATCTAAGATTGGGGGTCTGCTGTTCATTTCCATAGTCTTATGGTGGGTTTTTGCCTTCCTGAGTTTGCATGGGACCTGTGTTGCTGACACCATTTCTATAGAATCATATTAGCAGGTTCCCAGGAACTTGTAGGATTCTGTTTCCATGTGGTCATGCATAAGTTACATTCAGTGATTACTGTTGATGAAGATGTTCTGCATTGTTGTAATCATGAACAGATAAATCATCCATAGCACACAAATATTTCCTATTTCAGCAAATACTTTCTAGGAATCGCGCCCCCCCGAATTGAAAGATTTGAACTTTTACAAATGGAGCAGAGTAATTATGCCAAGAATATATTTCTTTCAATTCTCCTACCTATGTACTTGTACTACAAATTGAAACAATGCTTTTATAAAATCTACTTAATAGTGTGATTGTCCCTTTTAAAGAAAAAAATTTACTAAGGCAAATGGTTGGCACTATCTTATTATTTCAGCATTGCCATACATGGAGATAAAGAGAATTCTTGTGGAATTCTGGGGAGTATTTTTGACTATAGTGGTCCTGTAAACATGGCTTTTAAACACAGAATGATTTTTTTTATACTTGGGCATGGGAAACATAAAGATGAGTCCAAATCCTTTAGTTGTTCTCTCTTCCCCTCCCATATGTATTTCTCCTGAGAGACTTACAAGTCAGATCACCCTTGGTAGGTGGTGTTAAATGTGATATTCAATCAGTGTTTTGGGTAAACTATACTCTATGAGAGTCTACACAGAAATGGGGTGAATGACATGAAATAATGATCAGTCAATGTAAAGAATTAAGTGATATGCTCTCAAATAAGTAAATTATTTCTGTTCCAGGCCACTGTACCTGCCATTTGTCTATGGACTCCATAAGTATCAATATGCTTGTGTGCTGGATAGCTTTAGTGTCAACTTGACACACCTGGGTTGAGGGAGCCTCAGTTGGGGGATTGCCTCTATTGGACTGGCCTGTGGCCGCATCTATGGGGCATTTTCTTGATTTTGCATAAGAAAGCAGGCTGAGCAGGGGCCAGGGGAGCAAGCCAGTGAGCAGCATTCCTCCATGGCCTATGCTCCAGCTCCTGCTTCCAGGTTCCTGCCCTGAGTTCCTACCTTGGGCTCCCTGAGGAAGTGCGACCTGGGAGATGTAAACTGAATAAACCCTTTCCTCCCCAAGTTGGTATTGGTCAGAGTGTTTTGTAACAGCAATGAAGAACAAACTAAGACAGCTTGCAAACTGCAAATTATACTTTCAGGGATAAGTAAACTTATTTTACTCAATGTAACGTCTCATTACAATAAAATAGTAATTAGGTCAATGCTGAGGTTCATGACAAAGTGGGAATAACTGATTTTTTATGGTTAAAATGCATGGTGAATCTGCTAAAATAATTACATCGTATGCTCTATAAAAATAGAGCTATCCAACTGTTTCGAATTATCCCTTCTTATCCATTGATGCAGATAATTCAAAACTAGCTACACAGAATTTCGAGAAAAAAATATGTTAAAACAAAGAATTACAACTAAACCCCAAGTAAGCAACTACTAAAATGCGACATGATATTAAAATTCTATATTCAACTAACATTTATTATTTACTTTTAATATATCCTTTAATTCCTTATGTTTCTGGATAATGGAGGGAAAGCTAGTCAGAGTAGCTGGATTTGTAAAATTTTTTGAATAATGCAACAAATAAACACTTTCTTAACTTTGGATAGTTTGTTTGGTGCAGTATTGAAGGTAGGATACTCACTCACTAGATCTGATAAAATAAAGTACTCAATGAGAGTATTACATTTTAATTTTACACATACATTAAATAGTCTGGTTTGGAGAAATGTAATATGAGTCTATAAGGAAACAAGGATGATCTAACAAATATTTTAGAACTTAAACAGTTAAATGAGTGTTGTATATTTCAAAGTAGGAAATTCATGATCTTATAAACTCATTACAATGATGTTGCCATTGTGGAAAACATTTGGGAAATCTGGAAATGTCAGTTCACGCCTCATCCACAGATTTTGTCTCACTACTTCATACATCTTTTATTGTAACAAAAAAATACACCACAGATTAAATATTCATATTATTCAATAAATGTGGTGGCTTAGAATGAATTCCATTTTCCAAAATCAAATTTTCCTTAAAATGACGATGATTTGTCATCACTAAAAGCATTTAAAAGAATCCCAAAGGTTCTTAAAACAATTGTAGAAGAATTTCAAAAACTTTTGGCAAATAGAACATTATTAAAATAAGTAGATATAACTTTCCATGGTAACTAATTTAAATTCTGTTCAAATGTCTATCAGGTAGCTCTTCTATATGAGGTGTCATTTTAGTTGTTTCAGGAAATAAAAAGATACATAAAAACATAATTTACTGGAGGGCAAGAACCGTTATTTGAAAGGAAGAGATAAGACAGGTTCACAAATGACATTAATACAAAAAAAAACCTATAATGAGTCATAATGGATGACCAATAAATAAAGTAATAGGAGTTCAAACTATGGCAAAACTACATCCACTTGTGGACTGATATCTCAATTGAATCTTAAAAAACTGAGTAGAATTGTGAAAGAAATCAAAAAGAGACATTTGAGGGCAAACGAATAGCATTGCTTCCTTGGAATAAAAGGTTAAGCTATGTTTGAAGAGTGGTCAGTTCAACTAGAACAGTAATGGTGGGTTGAAATCACTTTGTGGAAGTAATAAATGCCAGATACACTTAAATATAAAACTGGAGAAAATCTGGAGCCATTCAAGGTTCTCAGGTAGATGTGTTATATGACAGAATTGCACTTTTGTATATTAGGCATCTTAATATGCTTCTATGTGTATAATAAAGAAGTACAATTTTTTATGAATTTGTGCAAGAGGTAATTAAACTTTAAACTCAGGTAGTGGAATTGGAAAATGAGAAGATAAATCTAAA